AGGCAACAGTGCTACCAACTGCGCCACCCTGCAGCGTCTTGATATCCTTTGACATACAATATACAAGGACTCATATCTCAGTAACTTTCTTTGTAACAATCACAGTATTTTTGGAACAAATGTCATGAAGTGTAAAACAATGTTCTATCTCACATTTGGTACTTCACAGGGTTGGCATCGGGTACGAGGTTCTCTCTCCAACGCATGCGGGCATACTCAGTGATGAGGGACTCCATGGGCACTTCGGGGACACCCATGGACCGGGCGAACTGACTGGCACCCTCCGCTGTGAGACACGCATGACTAGTCTGAAGCAAAGATCAAAGTTGACATTTGTAAACAATTGCAAACCAGATTTGCACTTGGAACACATGGAGTGGGCTTTTAGGTCAATGTTCAAACTCTACTGCAGCCACAATTATGGTTGCTTTTGTTGGCTTTTAAAACTCTACAGGGCGGATGTGGCTCAGGTGGTAGAACGGGTCGGTCAATGATCGGAAGGTCGGCGTTTCGATCCGCCCTGTAACCTGTGTCACTGTTGTTGTGTCCTTGAGTAAGACACTTCATCCACCGTGCCTGGTGTGAATGCGTATGAATGGATTGTTTGAGGTGGTGGTTGGAGGGGCCTTAGGTGCAAAATGGCAGCCACGCCTCTGTCAGTCTGCCCCAGGGCAGCTGTGGCTACAAATGTAGCTACCACCACCGGAATGAATGTGTGTGAATGAATAATTGACAGTGCATGCGCTTTGAGTTACTCCCTGAGTAAGAAAAGCACTATATAAATCTAATCAATTATTATTATTATTATTAGGGGCTGCAAGGTGGAGAAGTGGTTAGCACCGTCGCCTCGCAGAAAGAAGGTCGCCGGTTCGTGTCCTGGTGAGGACACCTGGGATCTTTCTGCGTGGAGTTTACATGTTCTCCCCGTGCAGCGTGGGTTCTTTCCGGGTTCTCCAGCTTCCTCCCACACAGTCCAAGAAAATGTTGAGGTTAATTGGTGATTCTAAATTGTCTGTAGGTGTGAATGTGAGTGTGCTTGGTTGTCTGTCTCTAAGTGTAGCCCTGTGATAGACTGGNAGGAAGGAAGGAAGGACGGAGGGAAGGAATGAGAAAAAAAGGGGGATGCGCGTCATTCTAACACGCAATCATTGGTGGGAGGGAGGAGGAGGAGGAGAGTCCACACACTCTTACTGCAGAGGGTTTCACACAATACTAGAAAATGGTTCTTTAGACTTACATTCATTCTTTCTCATAATAGGATTTTAGTTTTAATCTTCTCCGTGAGCCATATAGTCCAACATTCTCTTGTTGTGATCTGTTATTGAAGCATTCTTATTCATTTTTATTTGTCTCGTCACTTTATCTTCTCATTTGACTTTTTTGGTCGATTGCATAATATGCACCTAATGCTCTATTGCTCCTTGACACACAGAAATAATTGAATCTCCAGGCTTCAGCCTGTTTTATTTCACAGAGCCAGTTTAGTTAAATCAACTACAGAAGAACTCGGGTCCAATCTAGTTTGAACTCTTTCAGGATAAGGGTATCACAGTTACCCCAATTACACCATACTGTATATCCAGAAATCACATTGTTTTCATTTCCGTTACAACACAGTTCCGATTAATGATAATATAACTGTCAATTGAAACTCAGATATATTCATGTAAATAACATAATTCCTTAAAGGGTGACTTTGTAACTTACTTTTAACTCTTCTTTTTTTCATTGAAGTGATAAATCAGTGATGTTGTCCATGTTATCTAAAACCCCTCATTAATTTATCCATAAATACAACATTTGGGGGGTAAACTGCTGCAGTTGCACCTTCACTGAGTACAGTAAGACAGATGTGATTATTTGGTAGATTTAAATGGGTTTTACCACCTAAAATTGACAGAAAACATTCTTTATTTGTCACCTAAGGATATGGTTTTCATGTTTTCTCCTTTTAAAAAAGCGTATTCTATCCACCCATTCATTAAATCCATTATATAATATCATATAGTTGTGATTTGTGTACATGTTATTTCAACCCAAATTTGGGAAAATCCTGTCAAATTAAGGAATAGGCTGCTTATTAATCCAGCATATTTTAGGCGTTTTCCCGCTTAAAACTCCTGAATCATGCAGATAACTCACTAAAACACATTTACAGGACGTCATTTACAGGATTAGCATTTTATCCCTCTAAATTAGCTCCTTCACAAAATGAGCCAGCGTTTTCACAGATCTGTTTTTCATAAATAACTGCAGGATTCCTGTTTGGAGGCGAACATCCACGAGTTATTTTGGTTCTACAGTACAAACCCCTCAACGAACCCTTTAAGAACCCTTTATTTTCCATGTGTGCTATGGGCTGCCGAGAGCGCGCATGTTAACGGTGAGTGGAGCCCCCCATTCTCAAATGAGGGCTGCGCGCTCCCGCCGCAACAGAAGTGAACGCGCTTGAGGGGCTGCGGTCCCATTGACGGTTCTGTCTCCCTGACAGCAGCATCAGCATCAGCATCAGCGGCGGCGCTGGAAAACAAGAAGTCGCCGCCTCGCCCCGCAGCCAAACACACAGCCCGCCGGACCGAGCCGAGACCCGAGCCGCCTTCAGGGACCCCCCCTCTCTGCCCGGCCCCGAGGAAAGGAAACGAGATCCCCCTCCCGTGTGCCATCATCCCGACCGACCGCCGGAGATATGGGCTCCCCGTAAAACGGAGGTGGTGGAGGGGAGAGNAAGTGTAAAACAATGTTCTATCTCACATTTGGCACTCCACAGGGTTGGCATCGGGTACGAGGTTCTTTCTCCAGCGCATGCGGGCGTACTCAGTGATGAGGGACTCCATGGGCACCTCAGGGACACCCATGGACCGGGCGAACTGACTGGCACCCTCCGCTGTGAGACACGCATGACTAGTCTGAAGTAAAGATCAAAGTTGACATCTGTAAACAATTACAAAGCAGATTTACACTTGGAACACATGGAGTTGGCTTTTAGGTCAATGTCCAAAACTCTACTGCAGTCACACTTATGGTTGCCTTTGTTCCTACAAGGTACATGTTACATGAAATGTTGGTTCTTCAGACAAAAATCTGTTTATCTGCTTCACCAGCTGCTTACTACAGTGATGTGCTCTGCATTTACGCGTTCTCGGAAAAGTCATGATTTTGCATTTAATGCTGAAGTGTAAACATACAGTTGCTCACAGTTTTAAGACGTATCATTCCTTGGCATGCAAGAAAAACTACTGTGCAGTCATACAGAATACATACCTTGTCCATAACCAGCCTGGTTAGCTGGATAGGGTTGGCTATGTTGCGTACTGCAGACACTGCACCGCTACCCAGAGTTTTCCCTTCCATTACAATGGCATCCATCTCCACCTCTCCCTTCACGTTTAGCACTGACCCACAGCCTGAAAGATGATTGATGAAATGATTTGATAGACTGTTGTCTCTTAGGACTAAGAGTCTTTAGTGTACTGAGGAGGTATTTGTCCTGTGGGTAGAAATTAGCAGCATCTAAAATAAAGATTTCTATACATGATCTATCTCTAATTTCAAATACTTTTTATGAAGGCTGGTGTACAGACTGTGGAAGTACCATGAACAGAGGCATTCGGGCACAGGAATGAATTCATTCTAGTAAATTTTGAGTAAAAAGGAAATTTGAAGAGCCAGGGTAAATTTAACTTTAAGTTTTGTTCATTTAGAACAAAGGCAAGGGAGAAGTAGCTCTCCAGAGATTCTTTTCGGCACATTTACAGCTCATTCACGCTTCTGTCTGTCTGGCCCTCCCCCACTCATTGGACACAGTCAGTCCTGAGAGCCACAGTCACATGAGAGCATCTTCACATATTAGCAACTCTCTGCGAGGAGGGAGCTAAAGTCTGTCCAAAAAGTTGCCAATTTACCACTAGGTGCTTTTCTGGAAACAAAAAAGAAAAAGGGGTGTTAAAATTAAGTACGTAAGTAAAAAAATCTAGTGAGAATATAGTTGGGAAAATCGCTGGTAACAATCTGTCCATTGTTTTTCAGTTCCAGTTTCTAGTGGCGCTAGTAAGCTAGTCATGTACACTCTACGCCAACTTGTGAATCAACTGCATTTTTACAAGCCACAAACATCACAAGGTAAATCATTACTTTACATTTACCTCTGAACTGGGGCCCTTTATCCACGTTACACAAAAACACACATCAAAATTCAATTTAAGGCCTTAAACAAAATCCCTCATGTTACACAACAGATGTCGTTTTTTTCAAATTTTGTCAACACAAACAAGCAACACAACACCTAAAACACCAAGTCCCACCAGTTGTCACATCATCATGTGACAGCTAGCGGTAATCATCGCATACACAGTCATCTAATCTTTGAATGAAGCCAGCAGTAAGTCATCAGCACCTTGATCGATGTCTAACAAAGTAAGATCGCATGAATAAAACATTCACACAACCACAGCCACAGTGTTGAATTGATTGTTATGGATACTGGCAGAGTCGACTTTGAAACATTTATATTTAATTGTGAATGATTTAGAAAATGTGAATAAATAAAAAATGAGAAGTTATGACAGAAAATACCTGCATACGGCTATACCTCGGCCACAAATGATCTTCCTTGTGTCTAGTAATGTTTTCCACAATTTGATGTATCACCCACCCTGGCTAATCTTTTTTGTATTAGCTTTGCAACATAGGCTTTCTTTGCATTAAGAAGACAAAACCTGAAACCTCATTCAGACAGAAGGCTTATCATGATGGCAGTTATTTTGTTTCTTAATCAGGCTCTTTGTGCGTCGCTTCTTTAGCACAAAATAGCCAGGTCGCGTGCCGACTACTTCAGTCAGAGAATGAAGGGGGTATTATGGAGCGGCGCGCTATAAAGAATATCAGCAAAAAGTGTTAATACTGTGGCAGGGGGCTGGAGTCTATCCCAGCTGACGAAGGGTGAAGGCAGGTACACCCTGGACAGGTCACCAGTCTATCACTGGACTACAGACAACCAAGCACACTCACATTCACCCCTACGGACAATTTAGAATCACCAGTTACCCTCAGCATGGTTTTGGACTGTGTGGGAGGAAGCCGGAGAACCCGGAGAGAACCCACGCTGCACGGGGAGAACATGCAAACTCCACACAGAAAGACCCCAGGCTGAGATTCAAACCCAGGACCTTCAAGCTCTGAGGTGACTGTGCTCACCACTGCTCCAATGTTCTGCCCCATTCTCAGTGCATGTTTCTTATTTGTAATATGACAGCTGCAGAGTTTTTTAGTTGAAACTTCACTCTTTTAAACCTGTTAGTGCAGAACTGTACTTTGGTTTGACATTGCTCTGAATTGAAGGATGCATGGAAATCCCTTTATTTTTTGGTCAAATCAAATTAACATTGTTGGTTGAATGTTCTCTATAACAAACACAAATGAACTAATCAATTTTCCAATCTGATTTTCAAATGTTAGCATCACTTCACATTTCCCTCCACTGGAAGCCACTGACTTGGTATTGGAGACAATAACAGACAACAGAGCAGCTAACCAGCAGTTCTTAGGTTGCCAGATAGGCAGGCTAAATGTCCAGATGTAAGAACGACAGTAGAGCACAGAAAGTGACATTATGCTACACAGGGTTAATGCCATTACAGTACTACGTGTTTTTACATTACCTGCGTTGAAGGCGGGGTTATTCTCTAAGTGGGTCACAGCCTCAACCACAGCATCCATGCTGCTGCCCCCTCTTTTGAGGACGACATATCCTGCCCGCACTGCTGAGCAAACCCCCTCCGTGGACTTTTCTGACCGCTCCTTTGGGATATGGCCCGCCCCTCCGTGGACCACCACTACTGGCAACATGTCAGTCACCTAAAAAGGAAATTTCATTTGTTGCATTCAGACATAGCCTGGTAAATCTTTTAGTTTAAAGAAAACCAAGTCTGTAAAAATACCAAAATATGGCTGAAAAATTGCTATTGCATTGGGGTTTTCTGTTTCACTGTTCGGACTCCAAGATGAAGCATTTGCTTTTGCATGTTCCTGGACTGGACTGTGTTACACAGCAGGTAAACAGAGACAATAGAGGATAAAACTTCACATGTCAATAAGCATGACCTATCAACAAAAGCAATGACCCTTTGTTACCTTATTTGACAGAAATCTATGCATTTTTCTGGTACTTGTGACCAGCTGATAAATGAAAATGTCTGGTACGACTGAGTAAATCAACACCTCATTCTTATCATTTTGGAGCTAGTGATTCTGACCTCAGTGGCAGAATCAGACAATTCTTTAAGGTGGTAAGTCCAAGAGCATCGCTCACACTGGGATGGCACAATGTCTTATCAATGCTTTAAACGCAGCAAATCACTGTAGGCCAAATAGTCATTTTTTGGTGCGTCACTCCTATCATTTTCTCATGCAGGCTAAACCGCCATGAACATGAGAACTAATATACAGAATAATAACCTTGAATATAAATCTCTGTAGAGAAGAGTCAAGGTCTTTATAAATAAATTACTGATATAACTTCAGAATAGTTTCACTCACTGGTTGACCTGCGACATCTGCAGTCAGACCAAACTGTTGCTGTGACTGTTGAAGCAATCAGCTTTACTGTGTCCCACACAAACAGACACATATAAGACCCTCCACTGATTAAAATGTGGAGTGGTTGCTAAGTTATCGTTGTCTACATTTATCGTTGATAAAGCTCCTGTGATTATTACAGTTTAAATGACAGACTGTGAGTATACCATACCAAAAAAAATCCACTATGCATGAAAAACCCTTTGACTAAAATACTCTGAATGTTCTCTTTGAATAAGCACATGTTCATTCTGTGATGAATAACCAGAAATTCAGAA